GATTAAAAGTTCATTTGGGCACAGTGCCAGAGATCAGCATCGTAAGGTTCTGCCAGAGTCCACCACAACCAACCTGGATCATTCCTGGTCGCAGTGTCCCATTCCTGTCCATAAATGCAGACATGACAAGGTTGGGGAGACAAGGCCCTCTCTCCACTTGAATTTTGATCGCATGACCTGGTGGGGCGGGACTTATGATAGACCTAAGTGTGAGGACTGCTTATAAGCCATTTTTTTCAGTGCCATCATATCTTTGAATGGTTGTTAAATGTTCATAAGCTGAGGATTACCTATACTGTACACAGCCCTTGGTTGGCATCAGTATAAGGGAGAAAATAATATGTTCCTGTTTTTCCCCAATTACAGTACATCTAATCATGGTACATATTTTTTTCTTCTCCCTCATGCCTTTGCCTTTCTCTCACTTCTGTTTCATGACTGAGACAGCCTTAAGTTTTTGTTAGCTGTGTCAGCATGAAAGTAGTATTTTCCTCATTATTCCAGCAAGAGATAGACTTTTTGAACAGGGCTCCTTCCTAAGAATTTTAATGGAAATTTTGCCTTTGTTACAATTTGCTCAAGGTTAGGTCCTTTCTACCTAAGACAAATTGATTAAAGGGGACAGTAACAGTGACAATTTGCTGGCAACTTGTCCTGGGAGGGAGAGTGGGGATAGCAACCATTCACAAAAAATGAAAATCTTCAGATATTATAGGAAAATAATCAGAGATGGTATTCAGCAGGTTCTGACCAGTTCTGGAGAACCGGTAGCAGAAATTTTGAGTAGTTCAGAGAACCAGTAGTGGAAATTTTGAGTAGTTGGGAATACCACCTCTGACTGGCCCCGCCTCCATCTATTCCCTGCCTCTCATTGAGTCCCAGCTGATCGGCTGGGTCTTCTTTCGTTGCCCTGCACAGGTGAACGTAGCTGGACAGCAGGTTAGTGGGATGGGAAGGGAATGGAGATTTTATAGTATCCTTCCCCTGCCATGCCCACCAAGCCACTCCCACCAAGCCATGCCATGCCCACCAAACCACGCCCACAGAACCAATAGTAAAAAAATTTGAATCCCACCACTGAAAATAATGACAGTAATCTTATGTAACATATCAATTCTTTAACAGGCCCTCTAAAATTCCCCCGCCCAAGTTCATAGTATATAGATAAACATTAAAACAGGAATATAAAATTTATTATTATAAAATCTAGCATATCTCTATAATATTAATCAATATATAATAAATATTAATATAAACTCATGTATCAACAAAATCAATAAGTGTTGAATAAAATAATATCCAGTATTTTGTATCCATGTCAAATAACCTTTTTGACTACAGACAGAAATTAAACATACCAAAGCCCACCCATATTCTTCAAAATTCCTTACAAAAAGGTCCCTATTGCTTTTGTATTGTTTGTTTTCAAAATATCATAAAAAAATTTTTGAAACCCCATAGCAAAATATTCAAGTAGTAATTTTTTTCGATCTAAGGGGTCACTTGTTTAGGTAAGCCTCTCTAATTTTTAGCAAAGTAGAGGGGTAGCATTTTAATATACTGACATGGGTTATGTTTTGTGTGTTTGACTTTCGTTAAAAGCTATGGGAGATAAATTCATAAAATGGGTGGTTCTGTTATCTGTGGAAGAAAACTACAGCGCCACTGGTATTTCTCCCAGTGAAGTCAATTCAGCCAATCCGTGAATAGATTCTTTTCTGGGAGGTGGAGTAGAAGAGTGATGTCAGATCTTAGAAACAAGAAGCATCTCCATTGGCCATCACAGCTTGGAATTCTGGGATTTGCAGTCCAACCTCTATAAAAGTCCCCATTTTTTTATATAGCTAGTCCTCGATTTACAACAGTTCATTTAGTGACCAAAGTTACAACAGTATTGAAAAACGTGACTTCTGGCTGTTTTTACACTTACGACTGTTGCAGCATCCCAGTGATTATGTGATCAAATTTCAGATTTTTGGCAATTGACTCATATTTATGACAGTTGCAGTATCCTAGGGTCATGTGATCCCCTTTTGCGACCTTCTGATAAGCAAAGTCAATGTGGAAGCCAGATTCACTTAACAACCATGTTATTCATTTAACAACTGTTGTGATTCACTTAACAAGTGTGGCAAGAAAAGTCGTAAAATGGAGCAAAATTCACTTAACAACTGCTTCACAAACCAAAAAACACATAAAACCAATAAAACTTTTACTTAAAAAAACAACAACTGCTTCACTTAGCAACATAAATGTTGGGCTCAATTGTGGTTGTTAAGTCAAGGGATACTTGTATTGATGGCAAGTATACTTATACCTGCTGCTTGAACCTGGAAATTTCCGCTAAAAATGCACTCTGATAGGGAAAAGGTTCAGAGTTAAAAATCTCGGAAGACAAAGTGGAGTGTTTTATAAATCCACAAATCCTATGTCCAATTTCTTTTTCCCTACTATTAGACACACCAGAACTAGTTTCACCGGTTTAATAAGTAATTCAGTATGTAATGAAAGGAACAGAGTATGGTAGAAATAGAGGCCAGAAGTAAAAACGGAGGTGGAATTTTACTAAACTTACCAAATTAGCACTTCCTGAGTGAGACAAAAATACAGTTGTTCTTTGATATTCACACTTCTCTGAATTCTGCAAGGGTGTTCTTGCTTTTTAAAGACATACAGAATGTGCCTATTAGGGAAACGATGCATATATTTGCAAACATGGCATTAAAATGCATTTGTATTCAATCAAATAGTATATGATAATACCAAAAAAAAATTGTAGGAGGTGTGCAAAAATACAATGAGAGAAATGCACATGGAAATGTGTATGATTTGGGGGGGGGGGCAGCCCAAAGGAAAAGGATAAAAATACTGGCAGAAATGGGATGCAATGAATTTAAGGTTGAGAAAATGAACATGGGCCATCCTGTCCATCTGGTGTCCTAAGCACTTGGGAAGTTTCAAAAGGATGCAGAAAATTTCCTTCGTGCAAGGACATTACCAAGAGCTCCTCCCTCATTGCAACAGTCCTGCAAGGCAGAGAAGGGCAAAAGATGTACGGAAGATTGAAGATTTAGAAGAAGGGCAGGGAGAATTTTAGGATGAGGGAAGAGATGGTCAAGCAAAGCAGGATTGGGAAGAAGGACCATGTTCCTTGGTTGCTAAGCAAGGGAAAGAATTCTTGGGCCTGGAGCCGAGACAGAGCTCACAGCCCATCTGCATCGGCTCTGCTCAGAACAGCTTCTGCGTGGGTTGCACCCGCCTCTCCACCAGGCTGACAAGACGGTATGGAAGAGCAGGAAGAGGCTGGTGACGGACAACGACTTGGGAGGGCTCCAAGCTTCTTTACAATCCTTGGCAGGGGAGAACTTTTGCAATTCCTTCTCACAGCCGCCTAGTTACAGGTCACTCTGCTTTCAGTGAAGCAGAGTCCATTAACTCTTTAGTACATATTGGGAAGGTAGACAAAACTCCCCTTTCCATTCATTAGACCAGGGTGGGCCTGTAAGCAGGCCAGTTGGTAGTACCCCTAGCACTGCCAAAAATTGATAACAGAATGCAACAGAGTTGAAAAGGACTTTGGAGGTCTTCTAGTCCAACCCCTGCTCAGTCAGGAAACCTTATACCATTTTAGACAAATCTCTGTCTAATGTCTTCTTAAAAACCTCCTATGTTGGAGCACCCACAGCTTCTGGAGGCAAGTTGTTCCACTAATCAATTGTTCTAACTCTCAGGAAATTTCTCCTTAGCATTAGGTTGCTTCACTCCTTGATTAGTTCCTTGATGAGAGGCTTTCTTGTCAATTTGAGATAAGACATGTATAAAAGCTGTCTTGTCAAACCAAAAATAGATTTTGGGTTGTTGTTATTTTTTTAAAATAATATCAAATTTTCCCTAGCAAAGAAAATTAACTACCTGCCCATGTGTATCCCATTCCCATAGTTATGGGACAATCCAACCCACCTGGCATCATTGGCCTGCCTCCCGTGGTATGACTTTCTCCAATGCTAAGTGCATCTGCCAGTCACCAAGCAGTGCTCTTCCCTGCATTATTGATTTTGCTTTTATTGATTTTATGCCTAGTATTCTCCAAGACAAATCTCTTATTTTGCATATATAAAAGCAATTCAGTTTTTCTCTATTTTTTGCTCACCAACTCACAAGAGTCAGTGAATTCTGATGAGCAAATTGAATCCCTGCCTTCCCTCGTATTTGCAAGGGAAGAAGGTCAAAATGTAATTACTTACTCAGTAGAAAAACAAAAGCTTTATTGAGGGAGGTTTCCAGAGAGAGAGAGAGAGAGAGAGAGAGAGAGAGAGAGAGAGAGAGAGATAAAAGAATAACAAGAAGAAGATGGCGGCCACAACTGTATCATGGAAGCCCTGAGTCTTTTTATGTGTGTTGCAATGCACAGTGTGTTAAAAAAAAAAAAAAAAAGACAGGACTTTGATGGTGCGTTTCCATCCAGCTCTAAGCCTTAGAATCAGTTAATGATTTTTTAAAAACACAAAAAGACTAAGTACAAAAATACGATACTCCTTTGCTGACATCTAACAGTCATAACAGGATCTCTGCAGGCCAAAGATGGAGGGCTTAATGAAGAATGCCTGGGCAACCTTGTTATGCGTTAAATCTTCTGCTACGACACCTGTATTTTTAACTCTGTCTTCATCCCTGTCAAGAAATTCTTCTTTACAGCTGAATCTGAAGTTCTGTCACACTCAAAAGCTGTCTAGATTTTTCATTGCACCTAATACAGGTAGTCCTCGACTTAGGAGTCAGGACCACAATTTCTGTTGCTAGGGCAAGGTGGTTGCTAAGTGAGTCACTCCTGATTTTACAACAGTTTCTGCCCCAAAGGCAGTCACCATATTTCATGCCTGAGGGAAGACTCAAAGTCCTGATCTCCTGGTTTTCACTCTATCACCACTACATCAAAGTCCTAATTTTAACACATACACCCGTTTTTTTGTTCCCACCTTGCCTGCTGTCTCCACCCCCAGAATTCTAGAAAGAAAGCAGCCCGGCGGGGAGATCATCGAACTGACAGAAGAGGGGCGGCCTGTTGAAGTGACTGAGAAGGCCCAGCCCATCATAGACTGTACCTGCTTTGGCCTCCCTCGCCGTTACATCATTGCCATCCTCTGCGGTCTGGGTTTCTGCATCAGCTTTGGCATCCGATGCAACCTGGGTGTGGCCATTGTCAGCATGGTTAATAATAACACTGTCTATGAAGGGGATAAAGTCACTGTGAAGGTGAGGCTGTTCATTCTCTGTTAATGGAAAGTAACTGCGTTTTGTTTCAGGATTGTTGCTTTGTTGTTGTTGTTTTGAGGGGGTCATTCATATCTTCATAATCTTGCACCCCCTTAAAATTCTGAAAGATGCATCAGGTCAACAGATGAAGCAGTAGCATTTGAGAAATTTCACATGCTCAGAAGTCTGGATTTATAAAATACAAGTCAACACTCATATGGAGAACAAGAGGTTGAGAATTCTACATAGATGCTTAATTTCTAAAAAGAAACATCAGGAAGAGAGAACAGGCCTGACAAACACTTAAGTGTTTCCCCTAATCCTGGGTATTCTGGGATCAGGTATTGAAGGAATGCACTCTTCATTCTCACATTCTAAAAAACACCCTCTTCAGCCTCCATTCAAGTTAACGTGTGCTGTCAGCTGGGCACATACTACCGTATAAATAAGTTTAGCTTCTGGACGTAATGGTCCACACACAATTTCATTTACCTGAAATAATTTTCTGCAAGTCTTCCCCCCCCAAAATGCAGAATGACCTAACATAACATAATAACAGAGCAATAAACTGGCTCAGTTGCATTTCTCCAAATTGCTCCAAGTCCTATCTAAGGAGGCCCTATAAATGGCTCTAATCAGGAATTGCCTGCTCATGTGTCCCCTGTCATTTGTTTCTTCTCCTTTCCTGCTTAGAAAGCTGAGTTCAACTGGGATCCAGAGACAGTAGGCATGATCCACGGGTCCTTCTTCTGGGGTTACATCGTCACCCAGATCCCAGGGGGGTTCATATCACAGAAATTTGCAGCTAACAGGTAAAGGGGAAAAGTGAAATATATGTTTATGTGTAGATCAGCTAGGGAATCTAGGACCATCAAGATGTTAGTGTCTTGATCTTCTGGTGTCCATCACCACTGGCCATCCTAGCTGGGATAATGAAAGTTAAGGGACAGCAACTCTTGAAAATTTTATTAAATCAGATCTCAACTGTCTGAGACTATAGTTGAACAGTTATGACTCCAGTTGTATGTTCTCTTGTAAAATTTGGCTCAAATTTGAATCATACAGGTAGGCCTCACCTTATGACCACAATTAGGACAAGAATTTCAGTTGTTATGCTAGGTCATCGTTAAGTGACTCATACCTGGTTTTACAAATTATTTTGCCACAGATGTTGAGCAAATCATGTGGTCATTAAATAAATCCAGCTTTCCCTGCTGTCTGTTGAAAGCCAGCTATGAAGTTGCAAATGGTGATCAGATAATGTCAGAGTTTCTGGCGATCCAGCCAGCACACAAACAAATAATTCAGCAGGATTCATTATAGAGTAAAAACTTTATATACAATAATATAAAACATGATGCATGTATACAATATCCATGCAGCTCTTGCAATGTGGTAGAGAGAAGTAGCAAGTACAAGAACAATCACTAGAACTCTCAAGCAAAGACAAAATGAACTCTTTTGTACACAGAACAGTTAAGCTAAGCCATGTCCAGGCTCCAAGTTGTCTTAGTCACCAAATATTCCCCATTGGCTGACTTGTTGCCATGCCTATTCCAGTTCATGAATCCTTATACACTGACACTCCTTCCTTTATGACTGGAATAGACATAAAAACAAATAACTTAATATTCTTCCCATGGTACACTCCACCCAATGGCTTTGTCATTACATCTGCCAGATTGTCTTCTAAAGAACAGTGAAGAAAGCACATCAATTTACATTTGATAGCTTCTCTTACATTACAATATTTAAGGTCCACATGCTTGCTTCTAGTTTTCACTCTGCCACCTGTTGCCATTTTAATGCAAGGAGCATTATCTTCAAACACTGTTACAGCTTCATTTACATTTAAATCCTGTAACAGCTATACATACCAAGTTACCTCTGAAAAAGGTTTAGATACAGCAATACATTCTGCCTCTGCAGTAGAAATGGCTACAGTTGTTTGTTTTCTGGACTTCAAACCAATTAAAGCCCCTCCAAATCATACCACAATCCCAGAATTGGACTTTTTGGTTTTTACATCATTGGCATAATCACCGTCAACATAATATTTCAACTTTAATTCTTCAGACACCTGTATTTAAAGACCCAAATTTACCTGTATTTAAAGACCCTTCAAATACCTGAGAATTCTTTTTATACACATCCAATGCAATTGCATTGGTGCAGCAGTAAAGTGACTTAAGATGCTTACTGCACAAGCTATGTCTAGTCTGGACCACTTTGACAGATATAACAGGCTCCCTATTGTTGATTAATATATCTCTTGATCACAGGCTTCACTTTTGTCCTCACCCAAATTGTTATGAAAACCTGTGCTCATAGGTGTTGGAGAAGAATTACAATCCTTCATGTTATATCTCTCCAACAGCTGTTCATTTTTTCCCCTTTGACTGAGAATATAACCACCTTTCTCAGTTTTTGTATCTCTACACCAAGATAATTTTGTATTTCATCCAAATTCTTCAATTCAAATTTCTTCTCTAACTGATTAGCAAATACTTGTACCTGTGACACATCTTTTGCAATGAAATAAAGATCATCCACAAATGCTAATAATTGACAATCCCCACCTTGTAACTTTCCAGTATATATGCAACCATCAGCCTTGCAACTTTTGAACCTAAGACCCTTCAATGCCATATCTAAACAGATATTCCAATTCCTGGCTGACTGCTTCAGCCCATAAATGGCCTTGTTCAATTTACACACAGTGTTAGGATTTTTACTTTCATACCCTGGTGCTCGAACCATATAAATTTCTTCCTCTAATTCTCATTCACCAAACCGGTTGTTACACCGATTGAATTTGATGATTTACATATTGTATAGTCCAAGTATGCCTTACACCCTTTCAAGTTTAATCCTTCTCCAAACTGTGGCATCTTTTGCAAAACGCTGAAGCTGACATGGCCAAGCTTTCTGTACAAGAGATGAATGCATGAATGATGTTGTGCCACATTTCCAAATGTTTGGGCACATTGAACCTTTTGTCCCTGCAACACATAAAGATTATCCTGTTTTATGCCCTGTGTATATACACTCCCATTTCTTTTTATGAGAAATCTCCCATTTACAAATGTGGTCTCAAACCCTTGTTTGTCTAAACTGGAGACACTCAGTAAATTATGCTCCATTTCAGGCACACATAATCTTCTATATATATAAAAGTGAAATAGCACTCACGCATCATCACAAAATCTCCAGAACTGTAAAGTTTACAAACTTGAAATTTGGCATGTATGTTCCTCTTGGTGCTCACTAAGAAAGGATTTTTCAAAATGACCATCAGAGCATTAGTATTTCGTATATTAACATGCTCTGATGCTAAGTAGTTCTACTCCATCTCCCCACCTGAAAACAAACCTGTTCCAAATGCAAAACACAAGCAGAAGAGAGGAATTTCAGTTTCAGTTTCAGTTTCACAGCAGCAACCAGCTTTAGTACAGAACAATTGAGCTAAGCCATGCCCAGGCTCCTTGCTCACTCCTTGCTCACACAGCAAATAATGTTTCAGTTTCCAAATAGCCCTCAACTTTCTCACACACTGACAGGATGCTAGTCAAATGAGTATCGATGGATACTGGTAGGCAGAGCAAGAATTTTTTCCTCCTTATTTTCCTCCCCCAAAACCAAGGCCGATCAGATAGTTTAGTAGCGAAGCATGGGTATCCAGCTAGTATGTTACTAAACTTTCCCTCCAGACATGGAATCAGTACACTGCCTTTTCCTATGACTTTAGCCTTTTGGCCATTTGCCAAGGCTACTGCATCTCCTCCAGCTGGATCCATTCTGAAAAACAAATTAACAATTGTTTGACTAGCCCCACTGTCTATTAACCATTTGTCTCTACTATTACAATAGCTAACTTTTGCAACACAGCTTGTCTATCTGTTGTTTTTCTTCCTTGTAAACAGTCTTTCTTTAAATGAGTCTTATCAGTACAGATGAAACCCCACCATTGTTCCTCTTCATTCTTCTTAGAAATTCTTTGCTGGGCTATAATCCAATCTCTTCTGTTACTCTGGCCTCTGCAGGCATGCTGTCTGTTCCTTTGGGATGTAATCCAATCTCTTCTGTTGCTCTTCTCTCTCTGGTCCTTGGGCCCCCACCTCAGGAATTTCTTCTCATGGCTTCTTCTAAAATGGTGTTTGTTTTCTTCAGAAATCAAACAGGTTTTAAAGACTTCCATATATAATTCCTGTTCTGGTTTGCATTCAAAAAAGGCTGAAATAATGTCCCATGTTTCATCAAAACTATTTAACACCAACAGCACTTTCTGAGATTCAGGAGTCTGCATTCCACACTGTTCTAACTCAATAAACAGAGTCTGCATGTGCAGCAAATGCTTCTTCACACTCTTTTGTGGTAGCAGTCAGGCTCTGTACAATTGTTTCGATAATTGCACAATATTGCATGCTGATGCACTCACATGCACATGTCTCAATTTCAGCCAAACCTCCTTTGCAATTTTTAAATCAGCTACATTCAATAATTGTTCATCTTCCAAACTTAAAATGATGTAGGCCAGTGCCTTGTCATGCTGCCTTTGATTTACAATGGCTAATGGTGCCTGGAATGGATTAATAACAATATCCCAAAGCTCCTTAGCTTTCAGAAAGCATCCTATTTTTACAGCCCAAATAATATTTCTCCTGTTGCAATCAAGGTAGACAGCTCTCACCTTATGACCACAATTGGGACAAGAATTTCAATTGTTATGCTAGGCCATCATTAAGTGACTCATACCTGGTTTTACAAATTATTTTGCCACAGCTGTTGAGCAAATCATGTGGTCATTAAATAAATCCAGCTTTCCCCGCTGATTGTTGGAAGCCAGCTGTGAAGTTGCAAATGGTGATTAGATGATGTCAGAGTTTGTAGCGATCCAGCCAGCACACAAGCAAATAATTCAGCAGGATTCATTATAGAGAAAAAACTTTATATACAATAATATAAAACATGATGCATGTATACAATACCCATGCAGCTCTTACAATGGGTAGAGAGAAGAAGAAGTAGCAAGTACAAGAACAAGCACTAGAACTCTCAAGCAAAGACAAAATGAACTCTTTTATACACAGAACAGTTAAGCTAAGCCATGCCCTGGCTCCAAGCTCTGTCAGTCACCAAATAGTCACCATTGGCTGACTTATTGCTATGCCTATTTCAGTTCATGAATCCTTATACACTGACATATGAGTTCAGTATACTGCAACTATCATCAACCCATTGTTAAAGTTCCGACTGATGAAGCCAAATAATTCAGCACCCACAGGTCCATTTTCAGCAAAACACTGGTTTATTGAGTACATAATTCAGCACGAATGAAACTTAAAAACAGCTATGACTATTTCATGCTTTTTCATATAATTAAAAGTTAGTCATCCTCTGCTCCCCCCATGTCACAGATCACATTGTCCAGTTAGGTGCTCTGGCGTCTCCTTGGCAATGGAGTTCAGTTTCTGGTCAGCGCCCATTGAGATGAACTTGGTTCCCAGGATATAACAAATTGTTTTAGCTGGTGTGCATTCCAAGCCTCCTCACCCCAGCTCTGTGGAAACTTCAGAAATGGAATCATGGCTGCGACAGACCTGATCTGTTTCAGAGTTGACACACATGCCTGTTGCCCACTGTCTAAATTTAGATCGCATGACTGTAGAGATATTGTGATGATCTTAAGTGTAAGGACAAGACATAAGGCATATTTTTTTAGGACTTTGTAACTCTGCATGGTTGCTAAACAAAAGATTGCAAGTTGAGGGTTACTTGTACAGTATACAGCGGTCTTAATCCAACAAGAGTCAGTTGGATTAAGTCTGCAATGGAACTTGAGTTAACAGTTTTTAATGAGAGCAGAAGATGAGTCTTTAGTAACCAGGCAAGAAAAAAAAAGTTTATGTTATGTAGTTTCACATTGCCAGACTAAACCATCTCCAAGCTGTTCAAGCATCTTCTACCATCACCTATCCACCATCAAAGCAATGCAAAACTCATTGATATTATTTCAGTCCCACAACAGTTGGATGACTCCAGAAGATGCCTAAAGCCATTAGTGAGGATCCTGCCTCAAAAGACGCTGTCACTTCAAGTCTTCAGGGGTCAATTTTGACCCCAAACAAAATGGCAATATCCCCTTAATCCAAAATAATGAAATACTGAGTGGTGCTTAAAGAAGACAATTGTTCCTCTGCACTTCATGAGATGGTATTGGGGTAGGGGTAGTCAGTAGTCATGAAATTTGTACACAGAAATATTATTCCCTCCAAATCTACATCTCAGAGGAATGTCTGATTCTTACGAAGCCAATTGAATCAAAATGAAGAGAGACCAACAGACACTATTTTACAGAAGTATACAGAAAGATAGAAAGAAGACCAAAACAGTTCATAACAGTGTTTTTCTTGGCAATTTTAAGATGTGTGAATGTCAACTCACAGAATTCCTCAGCCAGCATCCTTCCTGAAGAATTCTGGGAGTTGAAATCCACACATCTTAACGTTGCCAAGTTTGAAAAATATTGGTCTACAAGCTCTGCGTGTGTGGAATGGAATATTCTGGAGCAAGGGTATGGCTGATTGCTTGGAAGAGTGAAAAGGAACACTCTAAACTAGAACACTTTCTTACGAGAACAATGCAATAGAAATTCTGTGTTCAAAGCGCTCTTTGCTGCTACTGATGCTAATACCCTCTACTCTTGCTTGCAGAGTTTTTGGCTTTGCCATTGTGGCAACCTCTACTTTGAACATGCTCATTCCCTCAGCTGCTCGGGTCCATTTTGGCTGTGTAATCTTTGTGAGGATCCTACAAGGGCTTGTTGAGGTAAGGCTGGTCACTTCACATGTTTGTTTTTGTAGCCACAAAGTTAACACAGGAATGGATAGGAATTGCAGAAGATGGTTTCCCCCAATATCCCTAAATGTTCCTCTTCCATCTCCCACCAGAGTTGGATTAGAAGATGATCCTTTGTACTTTCTTTTCACTCAATAATTCTATGATTTTGTGAGCTTCTTCCACTTTACACTATATAAAGCCTGGCTGACTCTCCAGGGTATTGCAAGAATCCAATAAAAAACAAACATTGGTTATGAACACTTTTATTGCTAGCATTAATAACCATTGAGAGCTATTCAAATGGCTAAAAGTATCATACAGCTGTAAGAAGAACGACTAAACAGGTGTACAGGTGTAAGAAGAACATCAAACCACGCCATGCTATTGCCCTCAATGGGATGAATCCTGTTTGGTCTACAAAGAACTTGCACACAGAGCTGCTCAGCTGTCCGGGCAGCTCAGCAGGTCGTAAATTGCACTCATGCGCAACGCAGAGCAACAGAACCGGTAGTTATACCGGTCGGATCCCATCCCTGAAGATAAAGATAACCAAGTGGCAACAACCTGGAGAAGGTTGATTTCTATCTCAGTGTAGGGTTAGCCCAATCATCAGATTGTCTAGGAGAGATAGCAGGAAGGAAAGAGTAAGGTTGGAAGACACAGCTCTAAATACTAAATGGCCTGTTGGAAGCCCCTGGATTGGATGGCTGCTTGCAGGTGTACTTTAGATTCTGTTCTCATAGCTAATATATTCTCAACTCATATTAGAGTTGAAATGAGTTTCACTTCAGATAGATCCATACACAGAATGGGAGAAAGATCCCATTGTTCTTCATTTTAGCAAGCAGACTTGGGCTTGCCCTATTCAGTCTATTTTATTTAATTTTATTTATTTTATTATTTTTATTTTTTACTTTATTTTTTATTTTATTATTTTATTTTACTTTATTTTTTATCATTTTATTTTACCTTATTTATTTTATTATTATTTTTTATTTTGTATTTATCTATTTATTTTTATTATTTTATTTTATTTTACTTTGTTTTATTTTATTTTATTACTTATTTTATTTATTTTTCTATAGTTGTCCAATCAGATACAACTCAGGGTAACTTTAAGAGAAATAAAAAATAAGACATATCACACATGAGGCAACCTCTCACCATCCCACCACCAGAATAATTAACCCCACAAGGCTCCTGAGGAAAAAGCCAAGACTTTAGAGCCTTTCAAAAGGCAGGCAGGTGATCCAAAAAAAATCCCAGACTTGGGGGGAGTAACCTTGAGCCTCCTAATAATCTTAAGGCACCTCAGAAGGATACAATTATTGATGCTATCATAGGCCACTCAGGGATCAGGGAGGCCCAGAATGGATCCAACCCCCATTCCAGTCCTTTCTTAGATTATCATGGAAGCTCAGTGGCAATCTAGTATTGTTCTGACCCAGGCTTCATCAAACGTACTGAAACACAAGCTTGTTTGAAAAGCAAAACCTATTTTAATGCAACGCTGGGAATTACTTTCATTTTCCAGCAAGAACTAATTATACAGTTTCCCAAGACAAGCCCACGCTTGTCAGTGCTGTGGTATGCTGCCAAAAACAGAAGTCTTCAAAATAATTATAACAGAGCCCACCCAAAGTATCAGAAAAAAGCGTCCAGAGTACAGAGCTTCAAGAAGGACTCAGAATATATTGAATTGCTTTGCTTCCTGCAAAGCTTTCGTCATCAAGGTCTGACTTTTATCCCTTATGGGAGGGGTAATTACCTCCCAGCCTTACTGCTCTCGCCTTCTAGCAGCTCTGCGCACACGCGCACTGGGAACAGGCTCCCCTGGGCCCTCTGCTTCGCTTTTGCCAGACTCACTCCCATATGGTCCTGGCCCCATCCCTGCATCGGACGAAGGACCCTCGTCCAAGTCCTCTCCAGACTCCCTGATTGGTTCCCTTTAGTCCTCACTGTCCGATACCTCTGCCGTCTGCACCAGCTGCCGGCAAACCACAACAAGTATGTTGCCTTGATCCAGAAGCATATTGATATATCAACTACCTCCAGAGCCTTCTGCAACTTTCCCCCAAAGGAATTGGAGAAACAAATCAGAAATTATCCAATACTGTACAGTGCAGCAATGTCTTATGGGGAAGTAGCCACCTCCTCTCTCAAGGATGAATTTACCACTGCTTGGACCTACCAACTCATTATTTCCTGGGGAGACATTGCCCAACTAAAGGTCATGGATCAAATGCACAGGTGATCACACTGACAGCTTTGAAGATCCCACCTACTTTCTCAGGGCCCACAGGTTTAATTCTTCTATGAAATTTCGTCTGTCTCCATGTTCCTGTCACTATCTTACAGAAGAGTCTGAATAGCAAAGAGTTAAGAAACTAATGAAACTAAATTTCTGGTCTTCCTCTTTATGGTAATTCTCTGCTCTCCACCTCCAGGGAGTCACCTACCCAGCATGCCACGGTATCTGGAGCAAATGGGCACCCCCTTTGGAACGTAGCCGCCTGGCCACAACAGCTTTCTGTGGTAAGATAACCTTGTTTCTTGAAGCTGATATTTGTTGATTTCTGGAAAGTGAATCTTTGATCTATCTCTAGACCAATATTTTTCAAACTTAACAACTTTAAGATATCTATGGACTTCAGCTCCCAGAATTCCTCAGCCAGCATCTTATCCACACATCTTATACTTGCCAGATTTGAAAAACACTGATTTAGACTTTGTGCAAAACTCTGGATCAAAACACTTCACTGGAGTTTTTCCCTCTTATCCCCCCACTGGTTTATGAACTCACTAAAAATGGCTATTAAGTTGCTCTCACAATTTTTCTTTATTGTTGGTGAGGTATTGTTTTTTCATAATAATCTAGTAACAGAATTAAAATAGTGGTTACTCAAAGCATTCAATGCAGTATTATGATATCTATAAGTATTCATATTGATAGACAACACATTTCTCTAATCCTTACTTGGAAACAATATGGTCTCCTGCGAGCTGTAAATACTATTAGTAATTTTATTGTGTAGCTTCTACCCTGCTTGTTTCCTTTTCAGTTCAATTAGCATTGCTGGTAAATAATTAAGGAATTACACCTTAATTTCACCATTATTTACTAGCTCCTATTCCTCTTGTGGGTGGGTTTTTTAATCATCTCCTTTTCTCTCATGTGTAAACATTATAACCATAACTAAGAATGACATTTCAGATCAAAGAGCAATTGCGCTATCAGGTTTACAGGTTGATGGGAGTGAGGAATCCTGGTTTACATATTTAGCTAATATTTCCTACATAACTTTCCAGGTTCTTATGCAGGAGCGGTAGTGGCCATGCCTCTTGCTGGGATTCTAGTTCAATATTCAGGATGGAGCTCTGTATTCTACGTCTATGGTAAGTGAACTGGCATGAAAGTGATGGCTGCCATATTGAGCCTTTCCTTACTGAGACTTAATCATAGCCTTAACGTGCTTTAGCACACATTTTATTCTCCATGTCCCCGTGCCATTGCCTTCATCTCATTCCCAGCTTAACGAGAGTCATCCCCAGCTTTATAGATATTAAAATACAGGCAGTCCTCGATTTACAACTGGTCACTTAGCATCATTTCAACGTTATGACTTACTCCAAAAAAGGAACTTACAACCTGGATTTGAAGTTCTGATGGCCAGCCCCCATTCTCTCCCTACCCCCATGTTGATATGATCATATTTTGGGCAATCAGCAACCAGCCTGGATTTATGCCATTTGCAGAGTCCCTGAGTCATGTGACCATGATTTAAATTTTTTGCCAGAAAATGGCTTTAATTTCCACTTTCTGGCAAAAAAATGTCCTATAGTAAACAATGGGTTGTCTTAGCTTGTTCACTATAGGACATTGTTGTGCTAAAGGTAAAAGTTCCCCTTGCACATACGTGCTGGTTGTTTCTGGCTGTAGGGGGTGGTGCTCATCTCCATTACAAAGCCGAAGAGCCAGCACTGTCCAATGATGTCTCCGTGGTCATGTGGCCGGCATGACTAAACGCCAAAGGCATACGGAATGCTGTTACCTTTCCCACCAAAGTGGTCCCTATTTTTCTACTTGCATTTTTACATGCTTTCGAACTGCTAGGTTGGCAGAAGCTGGGACAAGTAACGGGAACTCACTCCGTTACGTGGCGCTAGGGATTCGAACTGCCGAACTGCTGACCTTTCTGATCAACAAGCTCAGCATCTTAGCCACTGAGCCAATGCATCCCTACATTGTTAAAGACATTGTTAAGCACTTGCTTAACAACTGCCACCAAAGAGGTCGTAAAATTGGGCATGGTCACATAATTTCACATAGTTTCTTCCCCAAACCCCAAAACCTTAGACTGTCTACTATTGACCTCACCCCTTTCCTAAGAGGTCTGTAGGGGGCGTGCATAAGTGCACCAACGTGCCTACTGTCCCTGTCCTATTGTTTCTTTTATTTTTCTTATATGTACCCATTTCATGTATTCGTAACTATGTATATACTTATACCTATTATCTTGTAAGCGATTGACAAATCAAAATAAAAAAATAAATTATAATAAATAAATAATAACTGGCTTAACAACTGAGCCTAATTATGGTCACTATCTGTTGTAAATATTCCCACTTATTCCACCACCATCTGCAGAAAGCCTCCAGGTCTACTACATTTTGTCACCCATCACCTTGGCAAGAAGCCAGATGACTGGAATGATGGGAAACCTAAGCAGTTGAAGCTAGATAAGGATCAGCAACCGGAGCCACAGATTTCCTGACTTAAAAGGGGTGGCGATCATGTTCATCCAAGAGGGGGGAAAAGGATGACACATAGATCTCACCAGTTATTCTGCCCTTCTGTCTTTGCAGGGTGCTTTGGTATTTTATGGTATTTATTCTGGTTGATGGTTTCCTATGAGAGTCCTGCACAGCACCCCACCATCACTGAGGAAGAGAAGAAGTATATAGAGGAAAGCATCGGAGAGAGCGCCAGCCTTATGAATCCCCTTATGGTCAGTCTTTGTATATATTTGTAAGTTAGCCAGCTCCTCTGTGATGCTTCAAAAGGGTCACAACAATTTTACCTTCATTTATTAAATTACTTATTTAGTAGTGTCCTACATAAGGGATGGGATTCTACCGGTTCGGACCGGTTCTATAGAACTGGTTATTACAATTCTGCGCAGTTTGGGCAACCAGCAAATCGCGCCCCTGGCGGCCCCGCCCCTCTCCATCTGCCCCTCCCTTCCCCTCTCCACCCAGTCAGTCCTTATCGTGCATGCACCACATCACTGACTGCATTCTCCCTTGCTCAGTCACTCCAATAAGTATTTCTTTCTTTTTTCCTCCCAACAATCAGCTGTTCTGATGATCAGCTGTGTCGGGATCCCCCTCGCTGTGTTATTGCTTTGCCCAGGAACAGGGGCGGGATCCAACCGGTGTAACTACCTGTTCGGTGATTTTATGTTTTGCCTGACGCACGCTGTGCGCGCATTTATAACATTGTCAGCTTGCTGCCTGGACAGCTGAGCGCAGGTGCGCAACATTTGAAAAAGCACTTTTTTTCCTGCTTTTTCAACTGCAGCTGTGTCACGCAAAACAGCTGAGGTTGAAAAAGCAGGAGATAAAGGTCAGGGAACAGCCTGGGTGGGTGGGTGGGCCAAAACAGCAGCAGACATAGAATCGGTTCTATGTCTGCTGCTCTTCAGAGCTACCAGTTTTACAGAGGTGGACAGAACCGGTAGAATCCCACCCCTGCCCAGGAAGCTTCCCTGAGGCCCAGGAGGCAAAAAACAGAGTGCGGGGAGGGGGCTGCTGCAAAAAGGAAGCCACGCCCACCCAGTCACATGGCCACTCCCCACCTAGCCATGGCCACAGAACTGGTAGTAAAAATATTTGCATCCCACCCCTGGTCCTATAGCCCTGGGCTTTCCATCCTGGGTAGACGTGTCTGTTGAAATTCCATCCGGAATGTATAAAAATTATAAAACAGCACATCTGGAAGGTATCTGATAACAAGAGATCTTTGCTCTGTCTCTGCAGAAATTCAAAACTCCATGGCGTAAGTTCTTTACATCCATGCCGGTTTATGCCATAATTGTAGCCAATTTTTGCCGAAGCTGGACATTTTATTTACTTTTAATCAGCCAGCCAGCCTATTTTGAAGAAGTCTTTGGCTTTGAAATCAGTAAGGTAAGAAAAGGGTTTTTTTCTTGTTTGTATATATGTGTGTGCACATGGATATACAAATAACGTTATCGAGGTCATTAACCAACAAAAAATGCACTTGGGCAAATTGAGTATATTCTGCAAGAGAGATGCTTATCCTCATTGGCCCTAGAAATTGGGAGCCTATCTAAATTTTAGATTGGCCAATTGTAGCAAAAATTGGCTACAATTTAGACAAAACAAGATTTGGGAAAGTGCTAACTTATTATTATTTCCTAAAACATTTTTTTAAAAGTGGGATTGGAAGTTTTTTTAAAAAAATTAATTGCCTAATATCATAAATCTATTTTTTGAAAAAGAATGGAGATAAGATACTATCTCCTTTGAGTCCCCTCTTCTTCTAAGGTAGGGGTGTCAAACTCAAGACCTGCGGGCCAGATCCAGCCCGCAGGGTGCTTTAGAAACAGCAAAGGACCGGCCCGTGGTGCCCCTGGTAGCAAAAACAAGGCACGGGCCCCCCGCGAGCAGCCCCCCCCTGTGGCCCATTTTCACCTGCAACAGCCTCCTGCAGCCCTCCACCACTGAAAACGGATATCGCAGGTATGAGGCTCCCCCGAGCTCAGTTTTCGCTGGTGGAGGGCTATCAAAACAAACTAAAAGGAAAAATGTTTCTCCTTTTGCATTTCAGCATGCAGGAAGGGACAGGAAAGGAGAAAGGGAAAAAAGAAAGACAAAGAAAAGGAAGGGAAGAGATAAAGGAAGGAAAAATAAGGAAAGGGGGGAAGAAAGAAGAAAGGAAAATGAAGAGGGAAGGAAAAAGAAGAAAAGGAAGGAAGGAAGATTATAATGAGAGTGGGGGAGGGTCTCAGGGAAGTCCTGCTTTAGACTCGGCCACCACAGGTGCCCCCGGCACGAGTCCCATGTCACCCCCACCATGGCCGTGCCCCCCAGCCCTCCAAGGTCAAACACAAGCCTAATGCGGCCCTCAATGAAATAGAGTTTGACACCTGTGTTCTAAGGCAAGAGTCCCCACAACCGGGCCTGGCATATTTGGAACCAGACCATGTGGGCTGGTGCAGCTCCTCTTGTGGGAGTGGCCCAGTTTCCCCTCTGCCCCCACCCCCCCACCCAAGCCGGGTGGCAACGCTGATGCTCCGATGCTCCAAAAGTGGAATGGTGAGAGGAGAGGCTGAGTGGGATGAGTGTGCCCTGCTCAGATTCGCTGACTGACCGAGGCTGGCTGCCCAGGACACCCGATCTGCTTTTGGAGAGTCTGGCAGCCTTGGTGAGTCCGAAGGAGCACAAGACCGCGCCCCCAAAGTCTTCTCTTCTCTGTGCGCCAAAAGTTTTTGCAAATGGATGAAGGCCTTCGGGGAAACGATCTTGCACTCTTTGCAAAAGCTTTTGGTGCACAGAAGCCTGAAGGAGCGCAAAACCTGGGCCCAAAGGCTTCTCTTCTCTCTTGCATGCGTGGCGCTGTGTGTGCACACATGGCCTGGTTCTCCTCTCCTCCCCCTCCAGTGAGGTTGGCAAGCCACAAAGGTTGGGGAAGGCTGCTGTTAAGGGATACTTGGGATTGCTCAGCACCTTCTGGGTCTCTGGGATGCTGATGGTTTCTCTTCACTTTTCACACACAGGTGGGGATGCTTTCTGCTTTGCCCCACTTGGTTATGACCATCATTGTACCCATTGGAGGCCAAATTGCCGACTTCTTGCGCTCCCGAAGACTTATGTCTACCACAAACGTCCGCAAGATGATGAACTGTGGGGGTGAGTGAGAGAGGCGTCATCATCACAGCACAAGCTGTGGGGACAAGAGTTAGGACAGCTCTAGAGAGGGTTTTTTTTAAAAAAAAAAAAGAAAAGAAAAATGAGATAGATAGATACCCAGAATGAAAAGATGAGTACTCCAATGAACAAAAGGCACTTGAATTCTTTAAGGCAGGGGTCTTCAAACGTGGCAACTTTAAGACTTCAGAATTCCCCAGGTCCACAAGTCTTAAAGTTATTGTCAGTCTGTGCTCCATTCAAAATCCAAGAAAGAAATACTTAGACTCCATAGATTAGAGGAAAGATATCTTTTACTGAAATTCGAAGTGGAAGCTACAGGTAGAGTTCTGAATCTAAGGAATTAGGCGCACAGATCACATATACAAAGGGATGGAATTGTTCCCACCCCCCAAAGTTCAAAAGATTCTTCCAATTAAAAGTTCTGAATATGATCATGTGGGCATCTTCAGGTGGTGATGAGGCCTCTGTCCGTTGACCTTGACATATTTTGATAAAGATTCGCAGTTGCGCAAAGGAAAGAAGGCTAAGCAAGGAAATAGAAACTTAAGAGCAGGAATTTATACTCCTCCCCCCACTCCTCATTTATACAACACAAGAATGTAACACCTCCAGCTCTCTTCCCAGACGCAACCCCTCCCCCCGTTACTCATGGCAGCCGAAAGATGCAAAGCAGTAGAAAAGATCTTGAAGGCTGACAGTTATCAAGTTTGGAGAACCCTGCTTTAAAAGAAAGAATGCTATAGCAATAGCAATAACACTTACTGTAGACTTATATATCGCTTCATAGTGCTTTAAAACTCTAAGCAGTTTACAGGGGTCAGCATATTACCCCCAACAAACTGGGTCTTCATTTTACCTATCTCGAAAGGATGGAAGGCTGAGTCAACCTTGAGCCGCTGAGAATCGAACTTCTGGCAGTCAGCAGAGACAGGTTGCAATATTGCCTTCTAACCACTGTACCACCACAGCTCTTAGAAATCACCTTGTATTTCTTAAAATAGGAACAGGCAGCCTACCACAATCAAAATAATGTTATATACCTGACCCCATCATCCCTTGCTGATATTAATCTGGTCAACATTTATAAGTTTTAATTCAACATTTGAAGAGCCACAAGTCCTCTAAATCTAAAAGCTTTGCAGACAATTCAACTAAATCCGTTTTCATCTTTAATGATGAAGAAAGACATGGTTTCCACTCATAGAATAAAAACTCTGTTAAATTTTTTGCGTGTGATTTTAACAAAGTTCAGGCTGAGTTTACAATAACCTGAGCCTAACCAGATAGAAGGGTTGTACATCTTGTCTGCTCTTTCTTGAGAGGAATTTACTCCACAACTTTCCAGAAACTTTCAAACTTCTTTCATGTGTGAAAGAATAGCTTTCATTTTTTTAAAAAAAAAAAGCATCTCAAGACTTGGTACATCCTTTAGATATGTTGGAATACGACTCTTCAAATCCTCAGCCAAAATACTTATGGCCCTGCTGATGAAAATACTTTGGAATTATAGTCTACCTCATCTGAAGAGCACTGTCACAGGGAAGCTTCAGGAAACCTCTTTTAGGAAGGGTCTGAAATGATCTCAGAACCTCAAAATGACTGGCAGAGTGCAGAGCTCATAATTGGGTTTATTGGTTATGTGCCATCAGATCAACACCAGCTCTTAGTGACCAACATAGATTTTCTCCATGATTATCTGTCCCTCACCTGTCTCACCTGGTCTTACACCAATGGTGATTATTGGTTTTAAACTGGGGTCTTTTGACTGGGTTCTTATATTGCATACTAAGCCAAACCATGATTTGTTTAGTTTTAGTTTCAAACAATGTTTGAATGCAGCTAATATTTTTTTGTAATGCATAGTTACATGTGTGGTTTTCATTTCTCATCAGGGTTCGGCATGGAAGCCACGTTGCTCTTAGTAGTTGGTTATTCCCACAGCAAAGGGATGGCAATTTCTTTTCTCGTCCTAGCTGTGGGTTTCAGTGGCTTTGCTATTTCAGGTAAGCTTTTGAACAGCTGGGCTGATTTTTAGGCATGGTTATGTTCTGCAGTAAATCTCCTCTCCATTCCCAAGTTTACCTGGATAGAAGGAGTCCAATAAGAGTGGGCCAAAAGTTTTGCCCAAACTTCTTAAACCTGATTTGGGAGGATTTCAGGGATGGAGAAGATGCGTAAAGCACTACAGGTAGTCTTGGGCCTACAACCATTTGTTTAGCAACTGTTCAGTTACAACAGCACTGAAAAAAGTAACTTATGACCAGTCCTCACAACCATCGCAATATCACCACAGTCACATGGTCGAATTCAGGCACTCATGTGACTGCCATGTGCAATTTTTCCCAGACAGCTTTTGACAAGCAAAGAATGGAGAAAGCTGGATTTACTTAACAACTGTGTGATTCATTTAACAATTGCAGAGTTCACTCCCTCTTCTTTGTGGCAACCCCTCAAGTACTGGAATACTGCTATCATGTCACCCCTAGTCCTTTTCTTTAGACTGGCCATACTCAATCCCTGCAACTGTTCTCCATGTTTTTATCTCTAGGCCTTTAATTATCTTAGTTGCATATCATAAATTTCTTTTTTTTTAAATACATTTTTTATTTTTTATTTCCACAAACACAGTATTGTGTGAACAGTGTGGTTCCAGGGTGCTTTACATTATAAAACAAATATGACAATAATTTCGTATTGATACTATTAACTTTTTTATATAATTTGGTATTAATACAAATTATCAATCTTAATCATCCAATATTCCCATGTGTTATTTTTGTGCCAATCTCTATATTCTTAACATAACTTCTTTTATTGTAAATATTATATTAATGGTCATATTTGCTGTTTTTAACAAATCATATAATTCTAATAACCATTATAAATTCATATTATTATTTTTATTTTCCATTATTTATCCCCTTTTTGTTTCTTGGTTGTGCCACTATCATGTTTAAAACAAAATCCCTTTCTAGTCTTGTTATAATACAAACAAAATAATATTCATCCTGTTTACATTTAGCAAATTATACAATTCTAGTAATATAATCATTTTTATCTAATACCATATTTCACTATATTATTTTTATCTCTATCAGATTCCACATGTCATTTTTTTTCCTATAATATGATATTAATTTTCATGTTTATTACAATTAGCATTTATGTATCTTTGATAATAATCCTATAATAAAATATTAATTTCATGTTTATTACAATTACAATATTAATTTTCATGTTTATTACGGTTAACAATTATCTATCTTTAATAATAATCCTATACTCAGATATTAATTTCATGTTTTTTTACAATTAAAGATTATATGTCTTGAATAATAATACACACATTCATGTGGAATTCTTATCTTATCTTTCCCATTTTCAACCATCATATCTTACTCTTATTAAAGCATTAATTGATCCTTAGCTTGTCTCCCATTTTCTATCATTATATTCCATTTCTCTTTTTCCAGTTATCTAATTTTACCCCTATCCTCTCAAAATAACCTCTCTGTAATTTCATCCCCTCTTGCTTTTCCCTTAAAATATTCTCCCCTTGATTTATTGCATCAATCATTATCATTTTAAGTTTTATTTCCTTTTTATCCTTTCTTTTTATTTGTTGTTCCATCTATTCTATTTTTTCTGGTTATTCTTCCAGTTAGCTCCTCCTCTTCTGAGATCTCGTTTTCTTTCTGCTACTTGCGGCTCCATTTCCAGCTCTTCTGCCACGCTCTGTATTTTGTTCAAAATATCCTCAAATCTTCTATTCATAGTGTATTTTATAGTCTGTAAGTCCAACATAATTTCTTTACATATTTCGCTCATCTTTGTTTTTGCTTATTCTATTACTTCTGTCCAATTGTCCAGTAATCTTTTATTCAAACCAGTATCGCTTTTCAAACAATAAATCCAGTGTCCAGAAGTCTTCATGTCCCAAAGTTAATCATTCTATCTTTTAAATAATCCAAGGGTGATATCTTCATCGATTTCTCCACCATTAAATTTACATTATGACTTTCTGGGGTCTTACAATTCCTTTAATTCTTTCTTTCAATTATTCTTAAGTCAGGCCTTTTCAAAATTTTAGGGATCTACAGTATTTTCTTTTGACAGCAGGTGGCGCTATTAGGTCAGTTTCCACTTTCCACCTTTTCCCCCTCTTTAGTCTTTTTTTCAAATTTGCCAATATTTCAAAAAGTTAGATATATATTCCTTTTTGTAAATAGATCGTAGCATTTTAAATAATGCCTATCCACAGCCAAATCCTGTCCAATCACAAAATTCAATTCTCTATTTATTATTGAAAATATTTGCATTATTTTTCTTTTATTTTAGTTTCCTTCTGTCTTTCAGTTTTTAAGATTAAGTTTTTAGTATTTTACAGATTCTTCTCCAGTATTAGGTTGCTCCTAGTTCACAAATCGTTATGAGTCCTCTTTTCTGGTATCTTTATCGAGGTTACGGTTAGCAATTCAAAAATATTCTCACCCAGATCGCACACCGTTCACAGTCCTGCATAGTCTTAGGTATTCAGACTGTCTCCATCTTCGTGGCAGCCATTTTGGTTTCCGCCACAGCTCGTCTTTGGATGAGGGGGCTTTCCGTGTCAGGGAGGAGAGATGCAGCTCTTCTCTACCTGCCAGGTGGTCCCTTTTCTTCACCACCCTTTCAGGGTGGCTATCCAACGAGGTGAGCTTGGAACGGGGCTTCAGTGTTCGCGGTCCTTGCTTCCAAAGGTGACGGAAGTCCAGCCGGAAGTCGCATATCATAAATTTATGAAAGTTAGCTCTACTCAAGTGTAGTGAAGGTAAGTATGTGATGCATCAAAAGAACAGATCTACTGTACCATAATCTGAAGTGAATCAGCTGCCACTTTTAATTATATATGTGCAACTTACTATCTAGGTTGAGGTTTTATACCTGTCAAAAGTGACACAGGTTTCAGTGTGCTTCTAAGTGTATTAATAGAAAGAAGTACTGAGCATAACATGGGTTTGCAGTATTAAGATGCTAACCATGTCTGTCCTCTATAAGATTTCTGGAAAATTCACTATATCATTAAATGTTATGTTTATTTTTTATTTTTTTGAAGAAAATAGTGCTTTCTGGTTTCATTTCGTTTTCTTTTCCAACACAGAGGATTTTCTTGCTTAGCTCCACAAAGCTTTTTCAAATAGTTGGGAATTGAGTTTTGGACCAGTGTGATGTAATCATGGCTATCAACTGCCCTCTGCCAAGCCCCAAAAGGCATTTCCTACATAACCCCACCCAAAGTGATCTATACATCTTAGACTACAGATTACATATAGTCCTCAACTTACAACAGTTCATTTAGTGACTATTTGGAGTTACAATGACACTGAAAAAAATGACTTAGGACCATTTATGAACACTGCAGCATCTTCAATGGTCACATGATCAGAATTTGGCTGCTTGGCAACTGACTCACATTTATGACAATTGCAATGTCCTGAACTCACGTGATAATTTTTTGCGACGTTCTGACAAGCAAAATGAATGCGGAAGCCAGATTCGCTTAACAACCCAATTACTAACTTAACAACTGCAGTGATTCACTTAACAACTGTGGCAAGAAGAGTCATAAAATGGGGCAAAATTTATTTAATAACATCTTGCTTAGCAACTAAAAATGTGGGTTCCATTGTGGTTATAAGGCAAGTACTACCTGTAGAATTGTTCTCTTGCATTGTTCCACAATCACCATCAAATTGAAGAATGTTCTGCTTGTGTTAAAAGGAATTCACTATTTAATGGCTCTCAGAATTACTTTGCATAACCTCTCTGCCCCAGCAGACTAATAGAAATGCAATGAATTTTGCAGATTTGATTAGGCACCTTAACGTATTTTTTTCCTTTAAATTTTTGAGTATCATGCTCCCTGGCCCTTCACTCATCCCGGTCCAATCAGCTGAACCTACATGGTGTTATGGATGTCTTCTCCAATCTCATTATGGAAACTGAAAAACAACTCCTTTAGAAAAGTTGTATTAATAGATTGAAGACCATAGTAACATTAACCATTATCTTATTAAACTGCAATTGTGTAGCCAAATGCAATCTAATTATATAAGTGATCAGGCAATGGGTCATACTCATTTCATTTTTATCTCCTCCACTTCCAGGATTCAATGTCAATCATTTAGATATTGCCCCTCGATATGCCAGTATCTTGATGGGCATTTCCAATGGTGTGGGGACCCTGTCAGGTATGGTGTGCCCACTCATTGTTGGAGCAATGACTAAACATAAGGTAAGAAACGGTTTGTAGAGAGTGGAACATTTTTATGCATGTATGTGTGTCCCTACAATTCTTATTTTTGTGCGAATAACGCATATCATATGTAAGGTGCTTCTCCACTTCCACTTTAGTATGACCTAAAATGTGCAGATAACATGTTTGGATATTTGCTTTTGTCTCATCCTCATCTCGTGAGTCAGATAGGCTTAAGTTGTTCTTAGTTGTACTAAGCATATTGGTATGTGCAATACATTGGGCATTGTCACCTGTTGTTTTGGATGGACATCAAGTGACTGGCAGTATCTGCAAACAAAGGTAATAGTTGCTAGTTAAGGATTGGCACTAGAATCACAAATTTCATGTTTGTTTAATTCGCCAGGGTGCTTGGTGCTCTTTGAGCTTGGTAGTTTTCTTGCAGATGTTTCATTACCAAGCTAGATAATCCCATCAGTGCTACTGATGTTACCTAGTTTGCTAATTAAATGTCTGTAAGAAAACTGCCATGCTCAGAGAACACCAATGACCCCACAGTTTCACCCTGAGCTACATATATTCTCTTCTATTGTTTAATTCTCTGCTGCCTCAAGAATGGACTTTAATTCAACAAAAGATCAGGGGTCTCCAACCTTGGCAACTTTAAGAATTATGGACTTCAACCCCCAGAAGCAAAGCTGGCTGAGGAATTCTGGGAGTTGAAGTCCACAGGTCTTAAAGTTGCCAAGGTTGGAGACCCCTGCTTTAGATGGATATGTAGAGAGGTTATGATGTTGTTCATACATTAATGTTAAGTCACAGCATAGCTTACATGGCTTTGTTAGGTAGAACTAATTATGATTTTATTTCAAATCAAATGATTAAATCTTTGGCTATTGTGATTAATTTCAAGTTTTGTCTGGGCAGAAGGTGATGGCAAACCTCAGTACTATATTCAGATTTTTTTCCTCTCGTGTTGTTATCCACAATGATAACTAAATTCAACAGGGATTAGACATCAATTCTTTGTTAAAGAACTTAAGTAACTTACTTGCTTAACAGAATACTTATCAGAATATAAATCTGGTATACACAGAACCTGGCAGATACTCAGCCATATTGTGGTTTGTTTGCTTTTGGCTTAACAAAGTAGTTATTGTGATTTGCAAATTACTAATTCTGACAATAAGATATAACTGTTCTTTTTTATCGGACTTTTCCCGAGTTTTATGAAATCCTGATAGTTTGTCATAAAAATCAGCAGGAGAACATTGGTTTGTTGAATACTGTAACAGTTTAATATTTTAATATATTAGTAGGCCAACAGTTTAATTTTCTAGCCTCTAAGTACATTTCTTAGCGGTTTTTTATTAATAGAGTATTTTACCTGTTGGATTTTTTTTTCATTTCTATTGATTGCATGCATTTTTAGCTCACTTTATTCGTGTGCTATTTATATTTTTAAGTACCTGTAAAAACAACTTTTACTGCTCCTTTTAAATCTTTGCATGTTATAACTTTTGATATGAAGCTGCACAAAATATTGGTCAATGACTGAAATAAAGGTTGGAACAACTAAGAGTATGTAAATTTAGCTATGTCTTTTTCAACTGCCCATGGTTAAATAACTTACAATGAATCAAGTCTGCAGCTTCAATCTTGCAACATTATTGGATATTATTATTATTATTTGTTCTAATGTCAATCTGTTTTCCATACACCTCTGGGTTTTGGAACTACCAAAACTGGTGAAGAGTTCTGGAGCATTTGAATGTTTACATGCCATCTTGTATTGTTCTAGTGGAGCCTGACTATGGCTGAACTCAAAGAAACTTCAGTAGGGTAAGATTTGGTTAGAATCTGAATGTGAAACTACAAGAAATCCCAGGAGTGTCGGCAAAATTGGAAAGTAAATCAAAATAAAACTCTGCAACAAAGCAAAGATGAGCCAATTCTGTCTTATGATCAAGAAAACCAGGGTTTGACTTAGCAATCTTGCCAACAACACTGCTTGCTCTTTACCAAGCTGCACAATTTCCATTAACCGGAAGGTCGCAGCTGTTTAGCAACTTCTGCAATATTCAATTCTGCAAAATGCAAACCAGGCAAAAATTTAGACCACGCCCACTCGAGTAGTTCTGGAAACATTAAAGGAATGCCAGTGTACCTTGTTTTTGCAATCCTTAGTTTTCACTTTCTTTTACTTTCTGACTCTATCTATCTATCTATCTATCTATCTATCTATCTATCATCTATCTATCTATCTATCTATCTATCTATCTATCTATCTATCTATCTATCTATCCATCCATCCATCCATCCTATAAGTTACCAGTTCTATTTGATTATAAGTAATCTCATTCTTTTCATCCTCAAGGCAGTGGCATATGCAACAATGATTTAATAACTTTTAGTACGGAAGGAGGATTTTCAAGAAATTGAATGCTCCTTTTGGGGAAGAGAATGTTCAGGCTTCTGCCATAGCTTAAAGAATATGGGTGTGGGATATCCCTCAAATAAGCTGTGAATGATGGATCTTTTACGTTTTCCGCAGACACGAGAAGAATGGCAGTACGTTTTCCTCATTGCCTCTCTAGTACATTATGGTGGTGTCATCTTCTATGGGATTTTTGCTTCTGGGGAGAAGCAGCCCTGGGCTGAGCCAGAAGAATTGACTGAAGAGAAATGTGGCTTCATCAACGAGGATGAACTGGCTGACGATGAAGATGAAGCTGCCCGTATGGGAGCAGGGGCAGGTGGTGGTGGCTATGGGGCCACCAAAAGTACCAGTTTTGCCAATGGAGGTTGGACGGCTGACTGGGACAAAAAGGAGGAATATATACAGGATCCTGGGAAAGATTCCTATATGTATGGTGTGCCAGAACAACGGGACTTGTCACAGAGAACCCCATCCTCCGCTCTCATGTGATGATGGGGATTGAGTCAATCCAATGGAGTGAGAAGAATGCTTCTTGTTCAGCCTTCTTCTCTATCTTCCATTACTTTACCATTCTGTCCTATAACCTCCATCCCGTTTCTGGTGTGTTGGCAATCAATGTCTGGACCCACTGAAAATTGCCCTTCCTGGCAGTCTGCTACCCCTCAATGATCCATAAGCACTTACTTCAAGTGCTTTACTTTACTGTTCCTTGTTTGCAGGCCACTGTATCTCCACACTGTCCATTCCTACTGAAGGCTGATGCTCCTTGAACCAAGGGGTTGAGCTAAATTTCACACATCCATTGCTCCTGATTCCACTGCACAGTCCTTGAAAAGCTTTGGGATCACAGCAAAGACACTGCAACACCCTCTATTATGTATGAAATGAAAACATAGCTTATGAATAGACCATGCCCTTCACATGTATATGACCCCAGGTTCAATCCCTAGGCCAAATGGACTATAGGAAATACATTGATATTTTGGTTTCCCCTCAGGACTTCTCGTAATTAGGAAGTGGCTTGGCACCAACCCCAGCTTTTTAGTCTCTTACTTGGCTACCCTAGTTGTGCAGCTCATCTTTTCAGTACTTTAAACTTTGCCTTAGACCCTTCTGATTTTTAGAAATAAATTAGATCTGACTCCCTCAACATCCTATACCTTTATACCTATGCACCAACCATCCTCCTGAACTGAAGATGGGAGAATCCGTTCACAGTGGCCCTTAAGATAACCGCTTGCTCCCATATTTTAAAAAATAGTCCATTTTTCTGCTGTAATCTATAGGCCTTCAAAATGCACCCAGGCATTTCCAAATACTGTATTATGCATTTCAGCATTTTTTCCTGAGCTGTAAATGATTTTTATGCTTAATGGGTTGATATTTTCCTAATGTGTACTGTAAATCACTTTCTGTGTAACAATATCAAATTCTGTCTCTCCCCCCCCCCCCCCCCCCCCCCCCCCCCCCCCACCTCAATCTTCACCAACCTCACTTCGTACATCTCCTCTCCTCCCTCCCCTCCCTCCTCCGC